GGTACTGATCCATTTTTAGTAAAATATTGTATACAGTGTGAGGTGTAAGGGTCATGGTTCATTTTTCCCATAGGGATATCCAGTTCTTCCACCCATTTCTTGACAAGACCGTCCTTTCCTTCATTGAATTACCCTGGTTCCTTTGTCAAAACTGATAGACTGTTCAGCTGTAGATCGTAGGACTCACTGTTGTGTTCCATTGATCTGTATGTCTGTCTGTCCTTCTGACCAGTACCAACACTGTCAGTTTTCATAGGAAGTCTTGAAATCAGTCCCCTACCGTTTTCTCTCTTTCAAAATTTAGTTAACTTCCAAGTTCTTTGTATTTTCATATAAATTTGAAAATCAACTTGTCAATTTCTATTAGAAAGCCTGCTGGGATTTATTGTCTTTAAATCGATTTGGGAAGAATTGACATCTTAACACTAATGAGTATTCCAGTCCATGAACATGGTATATATATCTCTGTGTGTTTTAAGTCATCCTTAATTTTCCCTAGCGTTGTTTTGTAGTTTTCAGGATACAGAGCTTGCATATATGTTGTTAACTTTCTCCATAATTATTTTATGTTTCTGATGCTATTGTAAATGTAACCCCCCTCATTTTCTCTTCAGATATTTCTTCTGCCCCATTCCCTTCCTTCTCTTCTCTCTTTCTCTCTCTTCCCTCCATCCCCCCTCCTCTTCCTCCTTTTGAGAGTCAGTTACATGAGAGACCACTTTATATTGGCCCAGAGGTCTTTGAAGCACTTTAAAATTTATTTTCCCTTCATTCTTAGGTTTAGATAAATTTAAATAAATTTTATTGGTCTATCAATCTGCATTTAAGCCTACTTAGTCCATTGTTCATTTCAGTTATTGGACTTTTAAGCTCTAGAGTTGGCCTTTTGATTCCATTTTATTGTTTGTGTTTCTCTGCTGAGATTTCTCATCTTTTCACACATTACGTCCCCCTTTTTGTTAAGTCTAACATACTCATAATAGCTCTTTCAAAGTTTTTGTCTGATATTCCAATATTGGGTCCTCTCGTCTTTTTATTTTAGATCACATTTTCCTGCTTCTTCACGCATCTAGAAATTTTTGATACATGATGGGCATGTGCGTGATGCATTACAGAAGGTATGGATTATGTTGTCTTCGTTTGAAAGATGTGAGTCCTGTTCTGGCAGGCATTTACGTTACCGGAGTATCTTCTTGATCCTGTTAGGCTTGTTTTTAAGCTTTGTTAAAGGAGCCTCTTTCAGCTTTGTTTTTAGTTTTAGGGCGTGCTCCTGCTCGAGGTTGTGGTCCTTTTTCCTAAAGGTTGGCTTTTCTGGAGTCTCTGCTGAATGCCTGAGGTGCTTAGCAGGGTCTCTCCACTCTCAGTGGCCGGAGATACAGCGTCTGCATATTGACCTCTGTATCTCCACTCAGCTCTCAGTCCTCAGCAGTCTCTCTTGGTCCTTGGGGATTCCCACTCTGCCCTGGTGCACTCTGGCCTCAGCCAAGGCCCTAGGGGAACTCCCTGTTCAACGTAAGCCCTCCACTCCCACCCCAGCACAGTCTCGTCTTTCCTTGGACCTTGCCCGTGAAGTCCAGCTACCTGAGCAGCTTCAGACTGTGTCTCCTCAGTTCAGGGAAACCATCCCTTTTCACTTGGGCTTCGTCTGCTTTTCTTTCAGTAGCCCTTAGGCCAAAAGCCAGGGTGAATGTGGCACTTCCTTGTAGTCCTCCCGTCTCTCTGCTGCCTCTTGTCCAGAGTCTGAAAACAGATGCTTTATTTTGTCCAGTTTGTTGTTGTTGTTTTACAGTGAGGAATAGTCTCACCCTGGTAACTCCATCCTGGCTGGCAGAGGAAGTCTCCCAGTAACAACTTCAGGGAATAAAAATGTAACATTCCAATATTTGAATTATAATACACGGGTAATTATACAGACAGGAACCCAATTGTGATTTTTTTTCTCTCTTTTTTAAATTATCACTTGTAACAGCAGTAAGTAAAGGAGGTTTAACGCCTTGCTTCACTTTCAAAGGCTGGTGTGGGAGGTAGCTGTGCTATGGGACAGTCCAGTAACAACTCATTCACATCCTGTAAAAGAAACCATTTGTTGTTTCAGACCCTCTCCAGACCCTGACACCGCCATCCAGAGAATGTTGTTAGGGCTGGCGTGTCAGTGACAGAGCTCCCTCGGAGGGAGGCTGCACCCCCTTCAGTAGGACTTGTATGAGACACTGCTGCTGGATTGCTACTCCGAGCAGTAGTTTACTGAGGGGGCCTCTTGAGGCAGGAGCTTGTCGTGACTTACACTGCTGCCTCCCCTGTGGACGGCCCTCAAGATTGTGCAGCCTGAGCAGGAGGAGCGTTTTAATTTCCTGAGACCATTCGGAGTGTCTTCCCGGATATCCCAGAACCTTGCCCTCCTCTAGAGTAATCGGTGTCGGTTTGTCTTCCCTTTTTTATTATTTTTGCCCTTTTCATAGCCCATAGTACTGGAATGTAGTCAGCTTCACACGGTCTGAAAAGTGTTTGGTATCAGAGTTACAGTTCTGTTACATAAGAACCCGTAAAATTGTACGCAGTGTGAAAGGATGACTTTCTGCTCTTCATTAACTCTGGTCAGGGGCTTAGCTTTTTGTGTGTGTTGGGTTTTATTTTGCTCTGGTGATTTTTTTTGGTTGACAGGTTGGGTTGAGATGGTATATTTACATGTATGAATGCATAAATATGTATTTATACACGTGAATAAAAACGTACATGTCGAAGGCGTTCCGTGGGAATACTTAACCTGTGTTTTGTTGGTTTTGTCTAGTGTACAGCATCTTTCTTCCTGCTAGATGCCTGGGTTTTTCAGGCTTGGTTAAGAGTTTTCAAGGTGTTTATGACCAGTGATCTTGTGCTGCACGTAATACAGCTCTGAATAGAAACAGAAAGACCCGGCACTGGTGTAAAACTCAGAAGAAATCAAAAGCCAGTATCTTTTCTGGCTTACACTTTTCATAGTGCCGTGATTGCATTTGGTTGGTTTGTTCTGCCCTATGAGTTCTTCACAGTCTTGTGCGTCTTTTTTTTCTCAGCTTGATGCTGAGAAAATTGTTCACAGTGGCACATAATAGGTACTCTTTTCTCTTTCTTCATTTAATAAATAAACGGATACCTGAAACAGCTGAGCAGTATTGTATAGGTGAGGCTTATTTTCCCACATTGTTAGGCAGAAATTTCCAATAAGGTTCTTTTCAAAGAACTAAGATAATACTATTTAAGTGCCAAAATTGAATTCTAACATTTTAAAGCTAAATGTGATCTTTGAGACATTTAGCTAGCCCTGTTTTGTAGGCAAGATAAGTAAGAACCAGAAAAGTGGCAAAGAAAGGTGCTTTCAGAACCAGAATTTCAACTCAGATTGTCCTGACGCCTGGTGCACTACTCTGCTAACGAAAAAAAAAAAAAAAAACACAGGTATATAGTTAGTGTTGGTTGCTGTTGAGTAGATTTCTACTCAAGCTTTATATAGATGGATATACGTATGTATGTATATAATAGTGTTTCGCTGCCGTTGAGTCAGCCCCAACGTATGGTGAGCCCACGCACGGTGGAACGAAATGCTGCCTAGTCCTGCACCATCGCCGTGATTGGTTGCAGATTGGACAGTGTTCCGTTGTGATCCATAGGGTTTTCATCGGCTGATTTCAGAAGTAGATCGCCAGTCCTTTCTTCCTAGTCTGTCCTAGTCTGGAAACTCTGTTGAAACCTCTTATGCATCCGAGAGTCATATACCACCACACCAAGGTGAGCCTAGAATTCTCTGCTTTAGATATTCTTGGGTCTTTCGGCTGTTTATATTTGCTGCTTACAACCTCTCCCACCTGCACCACCACTTCCCTTTTCCCAGATTCCCTGGACCTGTCCATTCCCCATGTCCCAATCTGATGAACTCCTGTTTGCCTTTTAAAATTCCAACTCAGATGGCTTCTTTCCCCAAAAATATTTTCAGACCCTTTTCACTACCCCCACTTACCAAAAAACTCCAAACCCGTTGCTGTTGAGTCAGTTCCGACTCATAGTGACCGCAGAGGATGACAGAGTAGAACTGCCCCATAGGTTTCCGAGGCTGTAAATCTTTATGGAAGTAGACTGCCACGTCTTTCTCCTGCAGAGCAGCTGGTGGGTTTGAACTGTCGACCTTTCGGTTGGTGACTGAGCACTTAACCACTGCACCACCAGGGCCCCTTTCACCCCGTTTGCTCCTCTGGATATTACTCTACACTGTGCAGCCTTCCATTATTGTTTACATTATAATTGGTTGTTTGTATTTTTTTTTTTCTACTAGATTGTAAGTTCCTGGTAGGAGCCTGTGTTCGTTTTTTTTTTTTTTTAAATCCCCAGTGCCTTTGAATGAATTAAATTTAAATTTGCACTACTAGGAACCCAGGTATTTAAAATAAACCCAGAGTAAAGGCCTGAATGTTTGTTCTGAGTGTGGTGTGACTGCTTCCTGCTGTTTTTTTTCCCCCCTTACTTCCCAGTTCCTAGGCATGTTCTGCATAGGTGAGGTTGCCGAGTCTATGTCTTCAGATCAGTGGGTCCCAGTATCAGGTCCGTGGACCCAGCTGCATCTAAACACATCTGAATCTCTTATGGGTTTTATAAAAATGCAAATTCTGATTTACGGGGTCTGGCATGGGATCCAGAAACTTTTTCTTTTTTTGAATGTATATATTTTTCACTTTAAATCTGCCAGATTATTTTTATAAGCAGCTGGGCTTGGGAACCTGGGTTTCAGATAACTGAGGTATTATATCAGTGTGAGATTACTTGGGGCTGACTCTTAACTGCTTTAAGAGTTCTGAAAACTGCTGAAGAGCTTGAATGTTTCTTATTTCTGGTCCCCAAAGCATCTAGCACGTAATTTCTACAGATCAGAATAGGTTTCAGTTAGTTCCGTTTAAGATGTTTTCCGTCTGGGTTTTGATTAAGTTTGACATGGTGACTGAGTAACCTTGTATTTTTTGTTGCTGTTTAAGGGGTGTTCAGCCTTGGCGTTCCCGTGGATGCTCTGTTCTTCATTGGTAACCAGTTGGTGGCCACCAGCCACACGGGGAAGGTCGGGGTGTGGAATGCCGTCACTCAGCACTGGCAGGTTAGTTTTAGCAAAGCACGTTACAGAAATGAAAACATTCCTGAAACTCGTATTGAGTATACTTCTCTTTAGTTGTATGGAATTCGTATGTTACTTCTTTTGATTTTCTATAATATTGAATATATTTAGTCGTAAATTTGTTTCTAGATATATATTTGACCATGTTTTCAAGAATTTTAAGTTTTTCTGAAAAATGAGTGAGTTTTAAATTCTGGTTTGTATTTCTCAAGTTCCACGTTACTTGAAAGAAAGCTAGTCGAGGCAAACTTCATTTGTTAGTGGAAGCCCAGATCTGTTCAGAGGGGATAGCAAGCCAAATGATCTCAAGAGTACTTGAAGAGGAAGGAGATAAGACTCTTAAAAAGAGGTTGACACCTGATCCTGAAGGAAAGGGGAGAAAGTAAAGGACGTTAAGCAGGGGAGTGACAAGATGGGATTCGTGTTTTAGAAAGCTAACAGTGGTAGCTGATGGCGGTCAGCATAGTGATGATGGGCCAAGGCATGTGGGAAGGGATTGATCCAGTTGGATGTAAAGTTCAGGTCAAGGGGGTTTGATCAGAATTCTTTAACTGGTGACAGTTCTATAAAGAGGATGTGAGTTTGAATGATTTGTGGAAGCTCTGCTCTCAGCTGGGTTCCTTGGCCAATTACATCAATGCTGAGCTTTTAGTGGCCGGGGGAGCTGTAGTGTGTGTGCCATAAAACTGCTAAAGTAAATTTTGTTTCCAAAGGAACATGCTTCTTTATGACCTTCTTTGTTTTTTAATAACATCTTTGAAACTACGTATAAAATTTTTAATATCTTCGGAAATCTTGAGAACTAGACTCACTTCCTCAAAATGGATAATTATTCTTAAGCTTTTAGTCCCATAGATAACCTGATGCTTCTTGTTTGGGATATGCATGAATTGAAAACGGTATCTGACAAAGTGGGTTTGTTACTACATTTCAGGAAGACCCTGGGAAAGTTGAGCATCCATGCAGCACATGAGTCTTACAGCGCAGCTAGATGGATTTCCTGTAGTGCAGGGCAGCGATAGTGTGCCATGAAGTCTCAGCAGACAGTTCTGACCCAAAGGGCTGCCTGCTGTGATGCTGGTTGAGTAGGTTCTCATTTGGCCTTCAGCAACCGTTCTGCCCGTGAATAACACAGGAAGTACACAGGACGGCCCTGTAGTTTTTAGAATCAAAATTGATTGCAGATGTTTGAGTCGGAGAAGTCACAAAGCAGTGTGCATGTGTGTGCGTGTGTGCGTCCGCGTGTGTGCGCGTGCTTATGGGTGCGTCTGCGCGTCTGCGTGTGTGCGCGTGCCTGTGTGTGCGTGTGCGCATCTGCGTGTGCGCGTGCCTGTGTGCACGTGCGCGTCTGCATGTGCGCGCGTGCCTGTGTGCGTGTGCGCGTCCACGTGTGTGCGCGTGCCTGTGTGTGCGTGTGCGCATCTGCGTGTGCGCGTGCCTGTGTGCGTGTGCGCGTCTGCGTGTGCGCGCGTGCCTGTGTGCGTGTGCGCATCCGCGTGTGTGCGCGTGCTTATGGGTGCGTCTGCGCGTCTGCGTGTGTGCGCGTGCCTGTGTGTGCGTGTGCGCATCTGCGTGTGCGCGTGCCTGTGTGCACGTGCGCGTCTGCATGTGCGCGCGTGCCTGTGTGCGTGTGCGCGTCCACGTGTGTGCGCGTGCCTGTGTGCGCGCATGTGCGCGTCCGCGCGTGCCTGTGTGTGTGCGTGTGCACATCCGCGTGTGTGTGCGCATGCGTGTGTGCGTGCATGGGTGTGGAAGCCTAAAAGCTGTCGTAAAGTTTTGTTGGTACAGCAGTTTCTCTCAGGACAGCTTCAATAAAATGTTAATGAAACTTTTGAAAAAACATTGTATGTGATTTGGGTAAGAAAAAAAGAAAAGATCTCTTTATGTTCACTTTCTTCATTAATCCCCCCACAAAATTATGTCTCGAAAGAAGGTTAACAATAAAGAATTAGTGTTGTCAGGTAGGTAGCCTAGGTGGAGTTAATGGCAGAATAGCAACTTCTAGGCAGTACTTCCCAAGTTTAAATTTAGACTTACGTTAGAAACTCCGTTAGTGCTCAGAACTAGGAACAGGAGTGAGATACTTTATTTTTGTATCAAAACAGAAGAGACAGTTTTGGAAGTTAGTATTGAAATTCATTATGTATTCTGATGACTAAAGGTTGGAGCACACACCCTGAGTTCCTTCTGAGGATGAGAGAGCTTTAGCCAGGGTTACCATCTGAGTCACATCCTAGCCTCCAAGTGAGCAGTGGGGCTGAGCTGGAGGAGGAAGTATTGGCTCTGGGAACGGACTCAGAGTGAAGTGTTACGGTCTGATGGGCTAGGCTGGACAAGAATTGGGAAGGCTTATTCCACTCTCTTCTTTCCAGGTGTGAGGCGCCTATAGCATGATGTCAGAAGCAGGGTTGTTTTTGTGTGTGTGTGTGTGTGAGATAGATTTGCACATAGGAGTAGAGATAGGGTGGACATTGGAATCCTGGGTCCAAAATTAGTTGAGGAGAGGACTAACATTTGGATATCTACGATGTGCTGGCCACTGTCCTAAGTATGTTTTATTTGCTTCCTTAGGATTTATACTAACATAGCAGAATTAGCTGATAGCCCCTCTCTGCTACTGACACGGACATACTGGATAAAAATATTAAAACAATTGTCTTTATTAACTATTAAATTATATTTTTGTGTATTTATTTATACCCACATACATGCATACCACGTGTATCAAGGTAAAGGCTCTGGGACCACGGGGGGTTTTAGGAAGAACAAGAAGCATAGCTTCATGGGACACTGGAAACTGGGGGGGCGGCAAGCCAAACCTGGAAACTGTAAAGGTTGGCCTCAGCATATAAGAAGAAGGCTGGGAAATTTCTGCCCAATAATCTTGCGTCAGGATAGCGTGGCTTTTGTTTTGTATCTTGAATCTGGAGCAGTGCGGAGTGGGGGGAAGCTATCCATGAGAAATTGAAACCACAGTATTTAAATTAGGAGTAAAAGGATATAAATTGGGAGTACAAAGGCATACCTTCGTGGTATGGGAACTCCAGTTGTGTTGTTGTTAGGTGCTGTCGAGTCCGTTTCGACCCATAGTGACCCTGTGTGCAACAGAACAAAACACTGCCTGGTCCTGCACCATCCTCAGAATCGTTGGTATGCCTAAACTCATTGTTGCAGCCACTGTGTCAGTCCATCTCGTTGAGGGTCTTCCTCTTTTTCACTGACCCTCCATCAAGCATGATGTCCCTCTCCAGGGAGTGATTCCTCCTGACAACATGTCCAAAGTATGTGAGACATAGTCTCACCATCACTTCTCCCAAGACAGATTTGTTCGTTCTTTTGGTAGTCCATGGTATACTCAGTGTTCTTCTCCAACACCACAGTTCAGAGGCATTAGTTCTTCTTCGGTCTTCCTTACTCACCATCTAACTCCAGTTAGAGAAATTAAAAATACTGGTCCAGAGCTATTTACATTTCCAGATACAGACATGAAGACAAAAGGGACACTTTGACAGGAGAGGACACACCGTACTCGCAGCAGAGATGGGCTCTACTGAAAGGGCGCACATAACGATAACATTTGTAAACCGCACATGGTAACAAATGAGGGAGAGGCATTAAATTAAACTTGGAAATAGTTGAACAGTCAGAAAGTGACCACAGGGTAATGACGGGTTACCTGTAGTTACACTTTAAGCAGACTCCTCAGTATCAGCTGTTGAAGCCAGAAGTCACTGAATTATCATTCCCAAAATGGGAGGGTAAATAAGTGATTTTTAAACAGTAGTGGATGAGGATTGCTGTTGGGGGCTGTTGAGTCGGTTCCGACGCACAGTGACCCTGTGTACAACAGAACGAAACACTGCCCAGTCCTGCGCCGTCCTCACGGTCGTTGCTGTGTTTGAGCTCATTGTTGCAGCCACTGTGTCAGTCCATCTCGTTGAGAGTCCTCTTCTTTTTTGCTGACCCTCCACTTTACCAAGCATGATGTCCTTCTCCAGGGATTGGTCCCTCCTGATAACACATCCAGAGTACGTGAGATGAAGTCTCGCCATCCTTGCTTCTAATGAGCCTTCTGGCCGTACTTCTTCCAAGACAGACTTTTTCCTTCTTCTGACAGTCCATGGTATATTCAGTATTCTTCGCAAACACCATAATTCAAAAGCATCAGTTCTTTTTGGTCTTCCTTATTCATTATCCAGCTTTCTCATGCAGAGGAGGTGAATGAGAAGACCATGGCTTGGGTCAGGCGCACCTTAGTCTTCAAGGTGACATCTTTGCTTTTCAGCACTCTAAAGAGGTCTTTTGCAGCAGATTTGCCCAATGCAATACATCTTTTGATTTCTTGACTGCTGCTTCCATGGGTATTAACTGTGGATCCAAGTAAAATGAAATCCTTGACAACTTCAAACTTTTCTCCATTTATCATGATGTTGCTTTTTGGTTCAGTTGTGAGGATTTTTGTTTCTTTATGTTGAGGTATACTCCATACTGAAGGCTGTAGTCTTTGATCTTCATCAGTAAGTGCTTCAAGTGCTCTTCACTTTCAGCAAACAAGGTTGTGTTACCTGCATGTTGCAGGTTGTTAGCGAGCCTTCCTCCACTCCTGCTGCTGCGTTTTTCTTCATATAGTCCAGCTTCTCATATCATATGCTCTGCATAGAGATTGAATAAGTATGATGAAAGGATACAACCCTGACACGCACCTTTCCTGATTTTAAAACGTGCAGTATCCCCTTGTTCTGTTTGAACAACTGCCTCTTGGTCTACGTACAGGTTCCACATGAGCACCATTAAGTGGTCTGGAATTCCCATCCTTTGAAATATAATCCATAATTTATTATGATCCACACAGTCGAATGCCTTTGTATAGTCAGTAAAACACAAGTAAACATATTTATGTATTCTCTGCTCTCAGCCAGGATCCATCTGACATCAGCAATGATATCCCTGGTTCCACATCCTCTTCAGAATCCGCCTTGAATTTCTGGCAGTTCTCTGTTGATATACTGCTGCAGCCACTTTCGAATGATCTTCACCAAAATTTTACTTGCATGTGATATTAATGATAATTGCTCAGTAATTTCCACATTTAGTTGGATCACCTTTCTTGGGTATAGGCATAAATGTGGATCTCTTTCAGTTGGTTGGCCAGGTAGCTAGCTGTCTTCCAAATTGCTTGGCATAGACAAGCGAGAGCTTCCAGCTTTCCATTCGTTTGTTGAAACATCTCAATTGGTGTTCTGTCAATTTCTGTAGCCTTGCTTTTTCCCATTCCCTTCAGTGCAGCTTGGACCTCTTCCTTTAGTTCTTGATCGTATGCTACCTTCTGAAATGGTTGAATGTCACCCAGTTCTTTTTGGTACAGTGACTCTGTGTATTCCTTCCATCTTCTTCTGATGCTTCCTGCCTCATTCAGTTTTTTTGCCCTTAGAATTCTTCAGTATTGAACTCGATGCTTGAAGTTCTTCTTCAGTTCTTTCAGCTTGAGAAATACCAAGCTGTTTCTTCCCTTTTGAGGATTAAAACATACTACAAAAAATAATGATGATTATACAGGTAGAGAGATTGTGGTTAAAAGATTCTAGGGTCCTTACATTGCTCAAGAGTATAAACTGATGATTTTTAAATTGTGAATCAATTATGCACCTAGAAATTAGCTACCTTGGGACAGAAATTCCAATTTCATATCAGACATATGACCACTGTCACTGAACCAGATACACTGATCAGTGTGGTTTCTCTGGTTCTTGATACGAAGTTGTTAGGGTAAGAAGGAGGAGGCCACATCACAGCTGATTTCTTGCTTATGGTGGAAGAGAAGAACTCGGCATCAGTGATCCTGGCCTCTCTGTAACCTCCTCATTCTCTCCTTTCTCTTTTCTCGCTGTACTGAGAGGTAGATGGGAGAACAGAAACAGAACTTGATAGGAAAGCTCTAAGCATAGAGCCCATCCTTGCAGAGAAAAAGTGGTAGAAATGTTTGTCTTAGATGTGCCTTGGAAACTCCAGGCTGCTGTCATTCTTTCATTGAAAAGTGGATTCAGAAGGGAGAGGAGTCTCATAGCCTCGTGTGTCCTCATCTTCCTGGGGTGAAGAGTCTGGGGAAGCTCTGTTTATAGACCTGTAGCCAAAAAAGATCACGCTAACTCGGGGTTGGGCCTCTGGGTGGTGCAGGGAAGCGATTGACTACTAGCAAAAAGGTGGATGCTTCGAACCCGCCCAGAGGCGCCTCGGAAGACAGACCTGGCGATCTGCTTTCGAAAGGTCACAGCTTTGAAAACCCTGCACACATGGAGTCGCCACGAGTCAGAATCAACTCGACAGCAACCAGCAATAACTTGGGGAGAGAAAGTTGCTCCGTGGGGATGTAAAGCAGTCATCCTGCATTCTTCAGACACCTTTGCTAAAATCACTGAAAGTTCTCAGCGTTCACCTGCTCCAGCACTTGCTGGCTCTGATGAGAAAGAAGCACGCCCTGGGAGGGTGGTGATTGGCTCTTTGCAGAGAGGTAGCTAGTGCGGCTTAACTGTGCATGACTCCGGGAAGTTACACGCAGAGGTACTGAGGTCATGGACAGCTTCGAATAATCATTATTTCCAAGTTTTAGTTCATTTTTTGTTTTTTTATTAGAACAGACCTAGATTCTGTGCTTTTATACTTACTGTTCTGTTGGAAACCCTGGTGGCGCAGTGGTTAAGTGCTACCACCACTAACCAAAAGGTGGGCAGTTCGAAGCCACCAGGCGCTCCTTGGAAACTCTGGGGCAGTTCTGCTCTGTCCTGTAGGGTCACTGTAAGTTGGAATTGACTCGACGGCAGTGGGTTTGGTTCTTGGTTTTGGTTCCATTGGATGTGCCTTCCCTCTTCCTCTACCTAACTCATAGTTACTCTTAACACTTCAGGCTTCACTTCCTCTCTGAGCTCTTCCTTGCTCTGTCCCCTTCTCACACCACCCCCGTTGAGATGAGGGTCCCACCTCCCTCCTCTGTTACCTGATTGCACGGCAGATTTTAGTGCCTCCTCGCTGTAATTGCCTTTATCTTTCTTTCTCACAAGTTTACAGGCTTCTAGAGAACAAAAGTGTTCTCTCATGTCCCTTATCTCCAGTCCAGTACTTGTTCTCCTGGAGAATATCTGGTGCAGAACGAGTACTCATATGTTAAACATCTAACGTTTAGGTTTTAACCTTTCAAGTGTGAACCAAATATTATAAATAAAAGTCCCTTAACATTTTTGACTTTCTTAAATGATTGGAAATCTCTTTTTTACTTTTGTGTGCCAAACTTGGTGCCTGGTATTTCATTTAAATGTAATCTCTGAAGTTTCACATGCGTGTCTGGCTGTAAGTTGTTGCTCGGGGCTGTCGAGTGGACTCCGACTCCTGGTGACCCTGTGCACAACGGGACAGAACACTGCCCGGCCCTGCACCACCTGCACAAGCGAAGCTGTGTTGGGGCCCTTTATGGCAGCACTGGGTCCGTCCATCTGTATGAGTAGGGAAGACTCATTTGGACCTCTTTGCCACTACTCTTAACCAACACTTTTTTGGGGGAGGATAGTAAAATTGATGCCCTTTTGCTTTTCTTTAAGCACAAACACGAGTAGTTAGTAACTTGTAGACTAGATTGAGTTGCTTGGAAAACCTTGGTTATTTACTCAGGTACTGGAAAAACAAAAGTATATGAGAATGCTTTTGGTTTGTCTGGCCATTTCTTAGGAAACAGAGTAGAATCATCCACAAGGAGAATGAGAACAGAGAATATACTGCCTTTTCCAAAAATTATAGTAGTAAGAGAGCAAGGACTGTCCCGGAAAGCAGGTGATGGGCTTTCTGACTCTGCCCCTTAGTAACTGTGTGAGTCTGGGCAGGTCATGTAATCTTGTGTATGAGAGAGAGAAGGGGAAGTGGACCTGGTTGGACTTGGCTTTCCAGCTCTGATGTGCTGTGATCTGGAAATCAAGTGTGGAGGAATTAGATGATTTATCTGCATTTTAAAAAGGAAAATGCTGCACTTGGAAATAAAATAAAACATCTTTTTTTTAAAAGGAACTCTTGGTGGTTCTTCAGAGGTCCTTGTTGTGGTGAGTGTGGGCCCGTGCACGTGTGTGTGGCGAAAGTTCCCTTTATGAGCCCTCCGTCCATGGGGTGTTGTCCTTTTTATTAAAAGAATGGAAGTTTTGAGGAAATAGAGTAGAATACATGGATTACAGTTATTATCTAACATGCAGTAATCTCGTTGCTTCAGGTTCAAGATGTCGTTCCTATCACTAGCTATGACACTGCTGGGTCTTTCCTTCTCCTGGGATGTAACAACGGATCCATATACTACATAGGTAAGTGTACTGACGTCTGTAAACGCTCTTATTTAACATGCCTTGTAAAATAACGAGAAAACGTAACCTTTTTTAGTTTTAAATAGATGCACTATGTATTTCAATGCTATTTAATTTTTTTTCATTTTTTAGATATGCAGAAGTTCCCTTTGCGAATGAAGGATAATGATCTTCTTGTAACCGAACTTTATCATGATCCCTCCAATGATGCTATTACTGCTCTGAGTGTTTACCTCACACCTAAAACAAGTTAGTACACGGCAGAATTAGTGTAAATTCCTGACTGTTTTTTGAGAACATGTTTTTATTTATTGACTTATTACGCAACTAGAACTGGTGAGTCCTTTCTTGTTGAGAACTGTACTGTAGCACCAAGGGTTTTCTCTCTGAAACTTTTATCTCTAAATCCTTAAACTATAGTCTAAAGTTTATGTTTGGTTTAATACCGAAGTCAAACATGACCAGTGAACAAACATAATTTAAGGTGGAAAATTAAAACTTTTCCCCTTCTGAATTGTATTTAAGTAATATCCTAACAGTATCAACAAATTAGAAAAAAAAATCCATCTATACATTTGGCTTCCTATACAATAGCTAGTTTCTTTTTGAAATTAGCAACTTTTATTTTTTTTAACAACAACAAAAAAAGCTCTTGTACCTTGACTATTGGAAAGTGAGGCTACCTCCTTGGGAAGTTTTACATTTAAGTTGTGGATTCAGATATTTTATTTGGAAGTTTGGTGTATATAACTTTTCTTGCCTTTCTAAATAAGGCCACTGCAATGAATTTAGCAGATTAGTTCCATAAAGTATTAAGAATTTTTGTATTTTATAGTGAAAGGTAAACATAAATAGGAAATTTAAAATTTACCTTTAATGAAAGGAATTCTAGGAAATACTGACATGTGTCCAGTAGTACCCTTAATAGGTTTGAAAGTATTTGTACATGATCTTCATTTTATTGAATTCATTTAAGGAAATTGTAATCTCCAGTATGAAAGGAATAAATATTGTCTGTACTCCAGTGGACTTGATTGAAATTATAGTAGAATTTAATCTGTGTTGCTCTAAAACAAGACTCAGCAGACCATGGATGGCTGGTCAGGTGTGTGTTTTTGTAAGTCGTTTTATTGTAACACAGCGGTGTCCATTCATTGGAGTGTTGCCTTCGGCTGCGTTTGTGCCACCATGGCAGAGTTGGGTAGTTGTGGCAGAGACAGTATGGCGCGTACCATCTGAAATTTAGTTTGCTGTCCTGCCCTTTGTAGGAACAGTTGCCAACCCCTGCTCCAGGATGAAATGAATGAAATTGCTGGTGTTCTGTTCTTATATTTTTTTTTTTTACTGTCTAATTGAAAAGTGAGGATAAAACTGGGAAAGGTTTATCAGTGAGCTTTTGACCTTTCCAGCAGCAGGGAGACTTCACAGGCTTGAGAGTGGAGTCACCTTTTAGGTTATGAGATATTTTCTGTGGCATGTTCTTTCTCCTTTATTCACCTGTTTTAAGTGAATCAGAAACAACAGCTATTAAAAGCTAAAAGGTTCTCTGTCTTTAAAACTTTTAAAAATATAGATCACTGAGTTCCACCCTTAATGGAGTAGTGTAGGAATTTGTGATGGGGTCTGGTCACTTGTGTTTTAATAAAAAAAATAAATAAATAAAAAAGGCCACAAACTAACCTGACAGAAAGGAGATAGCCACAGATAATTAGAAGAGGCAAGTACAGTGTAAGGGGTGTGTATTTTTCCCCATAGTCCAGTGTTTCGAAATTGTTGAATAATACTATATTATGTGATTATTCAAAGAAGATTCAATATTGTAGCAAAAGTGAAATAGAAGGTCATTCTAGACTAGAAGTTATATGGAATATTGCTTTAGGAATACTGTGTTGTTTCAGCGATGTTCTTACCACGTCAGATTTATGAGTTCAGTAAACATTTATAGAGTTCTCAGGCACTCTGTATGCTGCCATAGATTTAAAAAAAGGATCAGAAGGCACTCTCTGTCACCAGGGAAGAGGTGCAGGTAGACACGGAAATACAGGGTTAGTGTGTGAGAGTTCCCATGATAGAACGTAATACATAGTACAAGGGAGGCAGTGAGCAATTCTGTCTTCGAATGAGGGTTAGGAAAAGGTTTATAAAGGAAATAATGATTTTAATATGGTCAGAGAAGTCATAAGATACTATGCTGAGCTGATGCTAGCGCTTAACTCAGCTCTGTCTCCTCTGCCCCAGGGAGACTTTGCAAGGGCAGCTTACTTTTTATTGTCGTCTAATATACCACTTTCCAACTTTTGTACAGGCGTCAGCGGTAACTGGATCGAGATTGCCTACGGTACAAGCTCTGGAGCAGTACGCGTGATTGTACAACACCCAGAGACAGTTGGGTCAGGCCCTCAGCTTTTCCAGACTTTCACAGTTCACCGAAGTCCTGTCACAAAAATCATGCTGTCGGAGAAGCATCTCGTGTCAGGTAAAGTGATTTTAGCAGTGCTGGTAAGGGTTTCCACCTCATGGAAAATCTCTCCCCATGTGTGATTTCCCACACCCCGTCTACAGATTAAAAGACTATAAAAGTAGTGTTTTATGTGAGGAAAATATACCAAAGAAGTATTTTAGAAAAGCTTAATAACTAAAGCAATGTTAAGATTTTCTTTTAAAGATTTCTCTGATTTTGCTATGGTTGTAGTATACCTAAATTTAGGAAGTATGTTATCTTTTATTTGCTCTCTTTATATATTTTTTCTCATAGCATATTTTATTGCAAAATACCATAATCCTGTTGAGAAGAATTTTTTATTAGAGAAATTTTCCAAGTATAAATTTAATATAAATTGGGTTATAGTGACTTAGGGTTTAATAACTAAAGTTGTAGCATTAAGTGTTTTTTGGGGTTTGATCATCTAAAATTTTTAAAAATTAGTAGAACATATAAAGAGATTATTTGAAGACGGCAATGTTTTTATGGGTTTGCAGTTCTGATACCTTCATATAACCAAATCAGAAAAACCAAACCTGTTGCCATTGAGTTGATTCGGACTCATAATGACTGTGTAGGCAGAGTAGAAGTGCCCCATAGGGTTTTCACGGCTGTAATCTTTACAGAAGCAGACTGCCACAGCTTTGTCCCACGGAGCAGCTGGTGGGTTTGAACCACTGACTTTTCAGTTCACAGCCAAGCGCTTAACCAGTGCGCCACCAAACCTCCTCTGTCTTCGTATAAAGTTTTTAAAAATTTAGACACTACATTTTCAAGCTTAACGAGTCCTAGTGGTCACAGAGTAAAATTGCATTGAAGGAACTTTATCATTTTGGTGTGTGATGATTTCTGAAAAGCTTCATGAAAATTCATTTGTGACTCAGGTACATCAGTAGGACTTGGTATTTTGAGGAATCTTACGTTAAATCTCTTGTAGAGCAGTTCTTGCCAAACCTACAAGTTTTATTAACGTCTTTTTCACATACTGGGTTTGCTTATGTGAGGGTTACCTAATATAAAATGATGCTTCTTCTACTGTTCTGCAGTCTGATTTCAACACCAAGTGGAGCTAAAATCCTTGGCCTTGTATAAATGCATGAATGAATGAATATGCTTGTATCAAATGTCTGTTTGGGGTGTAATTAAAACTAGATTATTATAACACTACGCTGAGATACAATTAAGTACTTCAGCTCTTTATAGAGTGTAAGTATTAAATACATGAGTGTCCTTGTTTGTGGTAATTTTATGATCAGGTCAGTGACTCTCCAAAATTATACAGAGACCCAGTAGATAATCAGATTGAAATGGAGCTACTTTTGTTAAATGGAGTTGAGATGAATAAAGGGCCCAGGGGTAGGTTTTGGCCACTTAACCCCCCGGAGGTGGTGGGGGGTTAATTTTTTTTCTTGTTGTAAACTATACATATAACAGAATTTTCCATTTTAACCATTTTTACGTGTACAATTTAACAGCATTAATTATATTCACAGTGTTGTGCAGCCATCATCACTATTTCCAAACCTTTCTATAACCACAAACAGAAACTGCACCATTAAGCAGTAACCCCCTATTCGCCTCTCACCTCAGCCCCTGCTAACTTCTCATCTATTTCCTGTCTATCTGAATTTGCTTATTCTAAGTATTTCATATAAACAGAATCAGACAGTATTTGTCCTTTGGGGTCTGGCTTATTTTGCTTAGCGTAATATATTCATGTGATAGCCTGTATCAGATCCTTTTATGGCTGAATAGTATTCCCTTGTATGTACATATCACATTTTCTTTATCCATTATCTGTTGATGAAAACGGGTGGTTCTACCTTTTGGCTGTTGTGCATAATGCTGCAAGGAACATTGGCATAGAAGTATCTGTTTGAGTCCTTGTCTTCAGGTCTTTTGGGTATATACCTGGAGTTGAACTGCTGGGTAATACGGCAATTCTGTGTTTAGCTTTTTCAGGAATCACCAGATTTTTCCCCAGCAGCTGTGTCATTTTACATTCCCACCAGCATTGGCTGAGGGTTGCAGTTTCTCCACATCCTTGCCAGCACTTGTTTTCTTTCTGTTTTCTCTTTTTGTTTGTTTGTTTTTAATAGTAGCCGTCATGCTAGGTGTGAAGTGGCATCACAGTATGGTTTTGATGCACTTATTGGTCATTTGCATATCTTGGAGAAATGTCTATTCAAGTTCTTTGCTCGTTCTTTAATTGAGTGTTTCTTTGTTTGAGTTTTAGGAATTCTTTATATATTCTAGGTATTAAACCCTTACTAGATACATGATTTGCAGATGTTTTCTCACTGTCTTGATACTGTCCTTTGACACAGGTTTTAATTTTGAAGATGCCCAGTTTAGTTTTCCTTTAGTTGCTTGCATCCCTCATTCTGATTTTTTGAAAAAGCGTGTTTCTAACTTAAGGACCTACACAGTGGCTTTTCCTCGAAAGACCCTGTGTTGTGCCAACACATTTCCTACCTGTATCACACTCTGTCTCTATCACATCATTCATTTCTTTCCTTCTCTGGAGAATCCTTACTGGCATACAGATGCGCTCTAGCATAACCCATGTTAGAGACAAACAACAATAACAAAACAGCTTTTGATCCCATGCTCAGTTCATAGTGAACTTCTTGAAAAAGTTGCCTGTCTTTGCTTCTTCACATCCCATTCTCCTCTCCCTTTCTAGTTGATCTTCCACCCCCAGTATGCTGCAGAAGTTGCTTTCTGAGGTCAGCTTGGATTTCTGTATCCCTAGATCCAGTGTTCACTTTTCTGTGATCACCTTCCCTTGACATCCCAGCATTTCACCCAGGTGGCTGCTCCCTCCTTCCAGGGACAGTCTGTTTTGGGCTTCTGTAAAGCAGTTCTTGCCGGATAGACGCACCTACCTCGCTGAGGACTCTGTCTCACTCTGCTGCTGGTTCCTCTTTCACCTAATTGCTGAGTGTTAGGTTGTTCCAGGCTCTTTTCCTAGGCTTTATAGTCTTCCTTGTCTGAACTTTACCTGTTGGTTTGAGTATTAAAGACTGTCTGTATGCTATTGACTCCTAGATTTTTTCCCTCTACCTGTGATCATCCACAGAGTTGCAAACATAGATCCACTGCCTATATCTTCAGTTGTATGTTTAGTAAGCATCTCAGAATTAACCTGGACGAAACAGAACTTTTGATTTCTCTCTCAAAAGCTATTTTAGTGCACAATATCATCACGTTCTCAATCTGAAAATGTAGAAATCACCTTGTATTCCTCCCTTCCCCTCACCCCCTCCGTTCACACAATCCGTCAGGTCCGTTGGCTTTACTCTGACATGTGTCAGACGTCTGATCTCTTCACTTGGTCTCCATTGCTGCCGGCCTGATAGCTCAAATCATCATTTCTCTCCTCCGTTACTGCAGCAGCTTCTCAGCTCTTTTCCTCTTTCTGTCTTGCCTCTCTGTAGTTTATACTCCACACAACAGCCAGAATAGCTTTTTTAAAGATACAGGCTAGATCAGACTCCCGTTGACTTCCCTAAATTGTAATCAGAATAAATGTAAACATCACCGCGTGGCCAGTATGGCTCTCCCTGTTCTGGATTCTGTGAGCCTCTCAGGACCTCCCCACCCCCCCAGTGTTTCTCCTTGCTCATTTCATTGTCCTGTTGGCCTTTCCAATTCCTAAAAATCCCTTAGGACCTTTGCATGTGTTTTTCTCTTTAGTTGAGGTATTGTTCCCCTAGATACCTGTTTGCCGCCTTCTGATGATTGGGCCCCCTTTCCAGTACCTCCTCAGTAAGACCTCCTTGGCCGCACAGGCTAAGTTAGTCAGATTCCCGCCTGTCCTCTCTAATCGTGTCCGGATTTGTTTTAGCATCTCACCATTCGGTCGTTGGCTGATGTATCACCTGATCCCTCTTCTAGAACGCAAGTCCTCCCCTAGAGGGAGCTTTGTCCTCCACCCTCGTCTCGGTGCTTAGCATAGTCCAGGTACACAGAAGGTGCTGAATCCATATTGGTTGTGTGAAATGAAGTAATCTGGTCCTCTGAGAAAACAGACTGTTTTGCAGGGTTGTTGTGCTGTTTAAGTGACAGTGCTCTGCGATTCCCACTCCTCGTGACCCCATAGGACAGAGGTGAACTGCCCCATAGGGTTTCCAAGGAGTGGCTGGTGGATTCGAACTGCCAGCCTTTTAGTTTGCAGCCGAGCTCTTAACCACTGCACCACCAGGGCTTCGTGCTCGGAGATACTCAGCTATAATTGCTATTATCTTGATGGTAGTAATGTTACTGGAGGATGTGATGCCAAAGGACTATTCAGTAAAAATTTTAGTAGTAGTTTAACCTTAGATATTTCATATAGGTTTGAAATTTAAATAAATCTGTCAAGAAAAATGTCTGTTGAACGAAAACCTGGAGTATCAGTGTGCACTCACTGTGTTTTTCTGCCACCTGGTGGATGTCAGCAATTTTGTAATTGCATTCTTTTTCACATACTGTTCTTTTTAATGCCTTAAATAAAAACTTTAAGTAATGAGTAATATTAACAAAATTGCCATGATTTCCCAATGGAATCGGCCAAAAAAATTTAAACTATTTTTCTGAATCCTAGCAACCTAGTAGTGAATCCAGGAAATGATTACTCTCAAAGCTGATTAAATAGCTTGGAACTAAATGTCTTCTTTTTCACCAGAAAAGCTGGCATTCTGAGAAATTGAGAATTTTAGCACATAAAAATAAAAACTGTACAGATACTACTTACTGCTTTTTACCAAAAGTAAATTTCTTTCCTTTCTGAAGTTTTGTTTAAAATATGCAACTGTAATATTATAGTAAGTAGAAATGTGTGTTTTTAAAGAAATTTTTAGATAATTTTCTAATTTTTACTGATGAGTCATAGCACATTGCTAATAATAACAAATTTTCTGAAATCACAATAAATGGCAAATCGGTGCACTTTCTTATTAAACCATGTCAAAAAAGTGCAGTTCTTACATTAGTGATACAGTGTTTTGAATTTCTAGGAGAGTATTTATTCAGACAAAAAAATCGAGATAGGATATTCCTTAGGAGACTTCTCAATATATACCCATTTAATATTGTCATTCAAAAAATGATAGTAATTGGAGCATATTTCTTAAATGCAGACTCTTGTTTGATACAAAAATAATTCTCAGCTTTAGTGCATAACTTTAATTTTCCTGAGTGCAACTGCAAATGAGCGAGACATTGCTGGTTCTTAAAGTGCGTTTGACGTACGTCATTTGTGCTGATAGTTTCTCCTTAACTCCTAATTTAGGTTGTTTAATTTTTGAGTAGCAGAAACAGAAACAGTCTCTGTGATGGGAAAAAATAAACTAGGCAGCTTGTTTGCTGTATAGAAGTTTAGCCTCAGAAACAGGAAAGCATTCGGCATATTCTCTTATATTTTTTGTTTAAACTTTTGTACGTTTATACCCTGTTGGCTGGATTTACAAGGATCCATAGATATACTCATACCTTAAATTTCCAGCAAGATAAACCACATTCCGTTCTCTCACTTTTGTTACCTGTTGTTGCCGTGGAGTCGACTCCGACTCAGTGACCCTGTGTACAGCAGAATGAAACACTGCCCAGTCCTGCTCCATCCTCACAATCATTGTCGTGCTTGAGCCCGTTGTCATAGCTACTGTGTCAGTTCATCTCACTGAGGGTCGTCTTCTCGTTTGCTGACGGTCTTCTTTATCTAGCGTGATGTCCTTCTCCAGGGACTGATACCTCCTGAGAAAATGTCCTAAGTACCTGAGCGCAGTCTCGCCATCTTTGCTTCTGAGGAGCATTCTGGTTGTACTTCTTCCAAGACACGTTTCTTCATTCTTTTTGCAGTCCACGGTATATTCAGTATTCTTCACCAGCACCACAATTCATAGGTGTCAGTTCTTCTTCGGTCTTCTTTATTCATCCTCCAGGTTTCCCATGCATATGAGCTGATTGAAAACACCACAGCTTGGGTCGGGCGAACCTTAGTCTTCAAGGTGACATCTTTGCTTTTCAACACTTTAAAGAGGTCTTTTGCAGCAGATTTGCCCAATGCGATGCGTCTTTTGATTTCTTGACTGTTGCTTCCATGAGTGTTGATTGTGGATCCAAGTAAAACAAAATCCTTGACAATATCAGTCTTTTCTCCATTTATTATGATGTTACTTCCTGGTCCAGTTGTGAGGATTTTTGTTTCCTTTACGTTGAGGTGTAATCTATACTGAAGGCTGTGGGCTTTGATCTTCATCAGTAAGTGCTGAAGTCCTCCTAACTTTCAGCATGGAAGATTGTGTCGTGTGCATGATGCAGGTTGTTAATGAGTCTTCCTCCAATCCTGATGCCCTGTTCATATAGTCCAGCTTCTCAGATTATCAGCATACAGATTGAATAGGTATGGTGAAAGGATGCAACCCTGACACACACCTTTCCTGACCTTAAACCACACAGTATCCGTTTGTTCTGTTTGAACGACTGCCTCTTGATCTGTGTACAGGTTCCACATGAGGACAATTAAGTATTCTGTAATTCCCATTCTTTGCATTGTTATCCGTAATTTGTTATGATCCACACAGTCGAATCCCTTTGCATAATCAATAAAACACAGATGAACATCTTTCTGGTATTCTCTGCTTTCAGCCAGAATCCATCTGACATCAGCAGTGATAGCCCTTGTTCCACGTCCTCTTCTGAATCCAGCTTGAACTTCTGGCAGTTTTCTGTCGATGTACTGCTGCAGCTGCTTTTGAATAATTTTCAGCAAAATTTTACGTGTGTGTGATATTAATGATATTGTTTGATAAGTTCCACGTTCGGTGGGATGGCCTTTCTTGGTAATAGGCATAAATAGGAATGTCTTCCAGTTGGTTGGCCAGGTAGCTGTCTTCCAGATTTCTTGGGATAGATGAGTGAGCACTTCCAGCGCTGCATCCATTTGTTGAAATATCTCAGTTGGTATTCCATTGATTCCTGGAGCCTTGTTTCTCACCAGTGCCTTCAGTGCAGCTTGGACTTCATCCTTCAGTACTATCAGTTCCTGATCGTATGCTACCTCCTGAAATGACTGAATGTCAACCAATTCTTTTTGATATAGTGACTCTGTGTATTCCTTCCCTCTTCTTTTGATGCTTCCTGTGTCTTTTAATATTTTCCTCATAGAATCAGGTTTGAATTTTTTCTTCAGTTCTTTCAGCTTGAGAAATGCCAGGCGTGTTCTTCCCTTTTGGTTTTCTCTCTCCAGGTCTTTGCACATGTCTTTATAAATACTTTGTTTTCTTGAACCACCCTTTGAAATCTTCTGTTCAGCTCTTTTACATCATTACTTCTTCCTTTTGCTATAGCTACTCGACATTCAAAAGCAAGTTTCAGAGTCTCTTCTGACATCCATTTTGGTCTTTTCTTTCTTTTCTGTCTTTTTAGTGATCTCTTTTTCATAAAGGATGTCCTTGATGTCATTCCACAACTCGTGTGGTCTTTGGTCATTAGTGTTCAACACGTCAAATCTATTCTTGAGACAGTCTCTAACTTCAGGTGGGGTATACTCAAGGTCATACTTTGGCTCTAGTGGACTTACTTTAATTTTCTTCAGTTTCAACTTGAACTGGCATATGAGCAATTGATGGTCTGTTACATAGTCGGCCCCTGGCCTTGTTCTGACTGATGATATGGAGCTTTTCCATTGACTCTTTCCACAGGTATAGTCTGTTTTATTCCTGTGTATTCCGTCTGGCAAGGTCCACATGTATAGTTGCTGTTTATGTTGATGAAGAAGGTATTTGCAATGAAGAAGTCATTGGTCTTGCAGAATTCTATCATGTGATCTGTGGCATAATTTCTTTCACCAAGGCCGTATTTTCCAACTACCAATTCTTCTTCGTTTCCAACTTTTGCATTCCAATCACCAGTAATTACCAGTGCATCCTGACTGCATGTTCGATCAATTTCAGACTACAGAAGTTGGTAAAAATCTTCAGTTTCTTCATCTTTGGCCTTAGTAGTTGGTGGGTGAGTTTGAACAGTGGTCATATTAACTGGTCCTCCTTGTAAACGTATGTATATTATCCTATCAGTGACAGCATTGTACTTCATGATAGATCTTGAAATGTTCTTGTTGACGATGAGTGCAACACCATTCCTCTTCAAGTTGTCATTCCCTGCGTAGTAGACTGTATGACTGTCCGATTCAAAATGGCCAATACCAGTCCATTTTAGCTTACTAATGCCTAGGATATCAATGTTTATGCATTCCATTTCATTTTTGATGATTTCCAATTTTGCTAGATTCTTACTTCGTACATTCCACGTTCCAATTATTAATAAATGTTTGCAGCTGTTTCTTCTCATTTTGAGTCGTGCCACATCAGCAGATGAGGATCCTGAAAGCTTGACTCCATCCACGTCATTAAGGTCGACTCTACTTTGAGGAGGCAGCTCTTCCCCAGTCATATTTTGAGTGCCTTCCAACCTGAGAGGCTCATCTTCCAGCACAATATCAGGCAATGTTCCACTGCTATTCATAAGGTTTTCACTAGCTAATTCTTCTCAGAAGTTGACCATTAGGCCCTTCTTCCTAGTCTGTCTTGGTCTGGAAGCCCAGCTGAAACCTGTCCACCATGAATGACCCTGCTGGTATTTGAATACTGGTGGCATAGCTTCCAGCATCACAGCAACTCTCAAGCCCCTACAGTACGAGAAACTGACAGTCACTTGGGGGTTTGTTGCCTAGATACCATGTTAACTGTAATTGTAATATAAATACATCATTTGCCATTTAATCTGTCCTATGATCTATTTAATGTAGATCATAGTAAAAAAAAAAAAAGTTAGAATTTGTTCATAAAAGTAACTTTGGTGATGTTCGTACAGTCTGTATTTCACATCTCTTGTGCTCTCTCTCCCAGTCTGTGCAGATAATAATCATGTTCGTACTTGGACCGTGACACGATTCAGAGGGATGATCTCTACCCAGCCAGGTTCTACTCCTCTAGCATCGTTCAAGATACTGTCTTTGGAGGAGACGGAAAGTCACGGGAGCTACCCCTCTGGAAACGACATAGGTAGGTTGGGTTCTCCAGGGTGTTTGTAAATCCTCTGTGGGCTGCGCAAGCGATGCCAACTCCCGTGGAGACCTAAGAGAGAAATTTCTCATCTTCATTTTGAAACTCACTTAAAACAGAAATTTAGTAGTATGTTTCTGACCAAGTTCTGTGAATTCACAAGATTATATTATTGCTATGTTTTTTATGGTTTAAGAAGTAATGAGAAAAAAAGTAATGAGAGCAGATTCTTCATCTTAATTATCATTTTCTGAGGAGCCTTGCTGTACTATAGTTATGCGCTCAGCTACTACCTGGAGGGTTGGCGGTTCGAGCCCACCCAGCAGCTCCACAGGAGAAGGACCAGGCAATCTGCTCCTGTAGAGATTACAGCCTAGAAAACCCTATGAGGACAGTTCTTCTCTGTCACATGGGGTCACAGTGAGAAAGAGTCAACTCTTTCTAATTTAAATAAGGAGCCCTGGTGGTGCGGTGGTTAAGAGCTCAGCTGCTAACCAAAAGATCAGCAGTTCGAATCTACCAGCTGCTCCATGGAAACCCCGTGGGGCAGTTCTACTCTGTCCTGTAGGGTTGCTATGAGTTGGATCCACTCAACGACAATGGGGTTTCTTAATTTTAATAATGCATCTCTAAATGCTAACCACTTTTGTTTATAGTTAAAAGCCATAATGTCGTGCACATTTGAAACCTGAAATATTGTTACCTCTGTTGCTAATAATTACTGAAAATAAAATTTGAAGCTGGAAAAGGGCTGGTGTTGTTATATACTGAGAATAATTAGGTTGGCATTGGTAATATGGTCCATTAGGAAACAACTTAGTATGTCTCTGCTGATACTCTGATTTCAGCAAAAGTTACACATAAAGTTAGATTTGTCTTTCCATGTACATTACATACGTACGTGCACCCATGCCCACGTGCACTCGCACACATGCACACACACACACAGACAGTCTTCATGGAGATTATTTTCCCCAAGGACTCATTTGAAAGAATTTATATTGTGTGCATAGTTGCGTATCACGGTTCTTACAGTAGTTATGCAGGGCCTGTTGGTTAACTAACGCACCTTTCTGATCATTTTTATAAGCAGAAATTATATCACTGACGGGGAATAGGAGAGACACATAAGAATTTATTTACATGAAACTGTTGAATTTATACACATCCAGAATAAGCTCCGATAGTAAAGATTTCAGAGTAGTTATCTTTAGAAAACATAAGCTACTGATGAGAATTTTACTTTCACAGTCTTACTGGTTTTAGAAAAAATGCTGAGTGTTGTCAGTTTTAATAGTTGCTCTGTGATCCCAGTTCTCTGCATGATGCTGAGAACTTGAAGTTTGTATTTGTTCACAAATGTTTATTGAGTATCTTTGTGACAGGAATTATAAATTTTAAAAAATACAGTTAGCATCCACTTAGAGTATAATGAGTTGTTGTTAGGTGCCATCAAGTCGGTTCTGAC